TCAAAGCAATTTGATGGTCCTAGGAGATCTAACACCTTGGGGGGGGTGTACTTGGGGGGGCTCTCCAGCCACCCCAGTTCTTGTGTGTGAGTCCCTAGCCCTACCCAGCTGGGGGACTGCCCTTAGCTTGAAAGGCTAAGAAAGCATGATTCTGGAAGTACAAGTGCATGTTTGCCCTATTAAAAATTAGGAGAGAGGGCCTTAATGGCAACCTCTACGTTCCAACCTCTACGTAATCTAAGAAGGAAAGCCAGGGAATGGGTATGGTGACTGGTGAGGCAGAGCGAGAAAGAAATGGAAGATGGTAGTCCCGGAGTTTGGGTTAAATGATGTAGGTTATGGGCTTTTGTTTGGAACCTGGAGCTCTGGGTTCAAATCAGTTGCTGGAGAGCTCTAGGCAAGCCTTTGCTTACTTGCATAGCTTTCTTGTAATTATGATAAGATTATATAAAACCCTGCAGGATAGAGATTATCTAGCCTACATTTCAAACAGTATCCAAGAGGCAGTGACTGGGTGCTCATTACCTTAATTATTGTAATAATGGCACCCACTAGTGTCAGCAGCTGGGTCCCACTTACTTCTCACACAATGTTTAGAAAATAATTAGTTGTGTGTGTGTGTGTGTGTGTGAGAGAGAGAGAGAGAGAGACAGAGAGACAGACAGAGAGACAATGAATCAGTCTCATATAGCCCAGGCTGGCTTCAAACTCACCATGTAGCCTAAGATGATACTGAACTTGTTATCCTCCTGCTTCCACCTTCAGAGTAATAGAATTATAGACAGGCCTTTACCACCATGCCCAGTTTATGCAGTTCGGAGGATGGAACCCAAAGTTTTGTGCGTGCTAGGCAAGCACCCTATCAGCATCCCCAGTTCCTATTAAGTAACTTATATAAAAAGTTCAGCACAGAGAAGACAGCCAGTAAATGCAGCTTCCTGTCTGCATATTTCAATATGGATACCTCTGCTGGCACTTAGCACAGGCTGGGCTTCCCCATTCCTCTCAATAAGAAGAGTGCAGATGACGGAGCTTGCCCATAGAATGCAACATCCCTTCTGGGCTTAAGATCCTCAGGTGACTATGTGGAGGAAGGTGGGCATGGGTCAGGGCAAGAGACAATATGGTAGGAAATGGTAGCGATGCTGGACTTGGAGGCCTGACCCTGGGCCAGGCAGGGGAGAAGGGGAGAGGTGAGGGTGACAGCGATGGATTAGGAGAGATGAGAGGGAGAAGCTTCGGGAGAATGGGAAAGCAGGCAAGGAGTCTAACCCACTTCAAAAAACAAATCAGTGTTTCAATTATTCTTAGAAACATCCATCTACTTATTAGCAACAGATATGTTGATCATGACTCAAGAGTATTAACAAAAATCATTGTGTACATGTTTGTGTGGGCATGTGTGTGCATGTTCACATTGTGTGGGTGTACATGTGTGTACACATGTGTGTGGAGGCCAGAGGTTGACAGTGGGTGTCTTCCTCAATCCCTGTCCATCTATATATTACATATATAGTCAGGGCCTCTCACTTGAATGCAGAGCTCACCACTTCAGCTAGTCTGGCTCGGATTTGGCTAGTCTAGCCAGCCTGCCTGCTCCAGGGATCCCCTCTCTCTGCCTCACTAGCACTGAAATTGTAGGTCACTCACCACACTGCTGGGCATTTTACATGGGTGCTGGGGACCTGAACTCCAGTCCCTATACTTGTGTAGTGAGCACTTTACCCACTGAGCTGTCTCCCCAGCCCACAAATACCATTTTTAATGATACATGAAAGTCAGTTTCCTGATCACCTTTGTAGCATGGTAGGTGAGATACAGGGCGATAGAATGGAAGGGAAATGCTATAAGTGGCTTTATTCAAACCCAAAGGGACTGTGTGTGTGTGTGTGTGTGTGTGTGTGTGTGTGTGTGTATGTTGCCCGAGTTCTCTCAGGGTCCCTTGCTCCTGGCGCTATTAGACAAATCATATAACACATCTTTATCTGAATTTTTCATAGTTTATATCCTGGGTAGGGGAAATAGAATAACTTACAAAGGCAAACACCGGGGCCCCACACTGACACCCTGTTCCACTCTGTGGCTCACCAGTGCTCCGTCCCAGATCATTTCTACACCCTGCCCACAGTCTCCTTTAGCTTTTGCCCACACCTCCTGGGCCTGCAGTCTTGCTCCAGGTCGGTAAATGCCCCCTCTCGCAGGTAGGACACCGGGGCCATTTTTTCCGGGCTGCTGGCTTCCAAGATGGTGCCAACACTCCTCCTTCGTCGGCTAACTCTCCGCTGCTCCCTCTCCTTAGCTAACTCTCTGCAGCAGGCCCACCCCTGGGAGGAATAAGTGCCCCTCGGCACACACTGTGTGTAGAGGACAGAGGAGAGAAGGACAGATGGAACAGAGGAAAAGGAAACAACATCCCTGTTTAATGTCCTACCTGCTTGTGGCCTTTTCGTGTAATTAGCCTTTTTGGTTTTCATATTATCCATCTATGCATCAAAACTACTATTTATACCACAGCTTTTAATCGGTAAAGCATTTTCATTGTTTGATCCCCAGACTTCCCTGTAAGATGTGTCAAGACTCAGAGAGGGGCATCAGCATGCCCACCAGCAAGTGTACAGTCCAACTGAGACTCAGACTCAGACATTCTGGGAGCAGGGATGAGGCAGGACTTTGGTTTGGAGCCTCCCGGACTAACAGCCCTTGTTGGCTTGCCAGGCCCAGGTAAAGTCTGCATTTTCGGTGAGAAGATATATACTCCCGGCCAGAGTTGGCACCCCTACTTGGAGCCACAAGGACTGATGTACTGTGTGCGCTGTACCTGCACTGAGGTAGGTTCCTCTGGCCACCAGGTCACCTTCATCAGGTACATCTGGGAGAACAGGGGGTGGGAGGATAGCCTGACTTGAGGCCCGGGCATCCAGGAACGAGTGCCCTAGATGTTGTCAGAGGTAGCTGTGGTTCAGTGGTGGGGTGAGCCGAGGACCTAACCTTCAGTTTTCTTCCCAGCTTGTGTGCCAGTCTTGCTGCTTCCTGACAGCCAAGGCAGAGCCTTTGTGGATTGACTTCTCCTTCCTTTCCATGGAATTCCCTCCAGCCCCATCCTAGATTTAGGGTGCATTCTTCTATCTTGACTGGTCTAAATACTTGTTCTTTAAGGCTTTGCCCAAATGGGCAAATGACCTCTGCCTGGAAGTACTTCTCCCTGTGTAAATGTCTCTGTCTCATTCTGTGAGACAGTAACATGCATCTCCCAGATGGAACCCTGCAAGAACAAGTCTTACATCCAATATGATACCCTGCCAAAGCCTGAATCAACTAGAGGAGAGACCATGTTTTTGTTTTCACTTCTGTCTTCTCTCTCTCCAACTGCATCAGTCAGCTTTCCATTACTACAACAAAATGCCTGAGATAATAAGCAAGAAGGAAGGTTTATGCTACCTCATAGTTTTGGAGGCTCCATTCCATGATCAGTTGGCTTTGTTGCTTTGTGGTGAGACCATACCTGACAGTGGGTGCAAGTACAGAATAAAACTGCTCACTTCATGACCAGGAAGCCACAGAAAGAGAGGAAGAGACCAGAGTCCTATAGTCACCTTCAAGGACACACCCCCAGTGACCTATGAACCTCTCACAAAGCAACACCTCCTGAAAGTCCACAGAACCTCCCAAGAGCATCACCCTGAGACACAGCCTTTAGTTTATGCACCTTTGAGGGACATTCAACATCCAAACTGTATTATCAATCCAGCACTTCCACAGGGCCTTGCATAATCAACTGTATATAATAAAGGAGACCCTGGAATCCAGAATGCTCCAGAGAGGTGTGAGATTAGAAGTGCAGGAGGAGAGGGGTTGAGGAGGTACTCATCCAGGTGGCGTGTCTCCAGCTTGTTTTCTGGACGCTGGTGTTGAGGAGGCTCCTGGCTCTCCCTCTGTACTCCCTTTCCCTCACAAACCAAGAGGGGGTGGTAGAAGCTCCAAGGGCCTCTCTAGTTAAGACAGAGCCTCTGGGGGCAGAGAAGAGTTCCTGAGGAGACCCTGAAGGGGGAAGTAGTGGAGTAGCCCCTCCCTTCACTTCCATACTGGGCTCACTCCTTCTGGGTCTTTCCCTCTGGCTCCCCACTGCTTGTACCATCTTGGTGCAATAAGCCATTCCAAAAGGACTTTATGAACGATAGCCAGAGAACAGAAAGGAAACCATAACAGAAAATTCCAGACATATCATGTGGTCCAGTTGACAAAGTCCAAGTTTTATGAGCCATTGGAGCTTATTCATACCTCCTTCCCCAGAGTTCACACATGTAGTTTCTTCAACCCAAAGGACTGTTGCCCGTATTTCCATAGTGTAACCTGAACCCTACATATCTCTCTACAATGCCCTTCTTTACCACCTAAGCTACCTTCATCTCTCACCTGGATGGCTGTACCTGCCAACAGGTCTCTCTGATCTTCTCCTCAAAACCCACCTTCCATGCAGAAGCTGGAATCATCTTTCCTGAACATAGAACTGATAGTATCACTTTTAAAACAATAAATAGCTTTGGTTTTTTTTTTGAGACAGGGTCTCATGTAGCCCAGGCTAGTTTCAAACTTGTTATATATCTGAGGACGACCTTGAACTTCCGATTTTCCTACCTCTACTACCTTAGTACCCAGATCAAGTGTCTGCCACCATGCCCAGTTTGTGAGTTGCTGGTGATGGAACCCAGGGCTTCATGCTTGCTGGGCAAGCACTCTACCAACAGAGCTACATCTCCAGCCCCCTCGGCAGCTCTGCATGCTTCAATGTCTACCTTATTCTCCAGTTTCACTCCGTACCCACACTCTACTGAAGCCACACTGACCTTCTCTCCACCCCTCCAACACTTGAACATTCTCACTTATTCCCTCCAGTGGAATAGTCTTTTCCACATCTCATAAATGGCTCCCTCTCCTTCCCAGTTCATAACGTGAATGTTGCCTCCTTAAGAGGTCTTCCCTCACAGTTGTTTCTATTTTTGTTGTTGCTGTTTTTTGAGACAGGGTCTCCCTATAGTCCCAGCTGGCCTGGAACTTGACCAGGTTGGCCTTAATCACAGAGATCTGCCTGCCTCTGCCTCCAGAGTACTGGAATTAAAGGTGTGCTCCATCATGCCCCGCCATTACAGCTGTTTTTTTGTTTGTTTGGTTGATTGGTTGGTTAGAGATTTTTGGAGGGGCGTTGTTTGGGTTTTTTTTGTTGTTTTCTAGGGTTTGTTTTTAGGTCTTTTTGAGGCAGGGTCTCCCCTGAAGCCCTAGCTGGCCTGGAACTCACTATGTATACCAGGCTGGTCTTGAACTCATGGCATTCCACCTGCCTCTGCCTCCCAAGTGCTGGGATGAAAGCTGTGTGCCACTCCATACCCAGCCATTACAGCTATTTCTAAATGTGTTCATTTGATTACATTTCCTGGGTTGATTTGGCCAGAAAGCTAACATCTGAAATCATTTTCCTGCTCACATGCTGTTTTGTAGTCTATCTCGAGCCACTAGGATGCAGGTTCTGTGAGAACAGAAAGCTTGTCACTTCCTCTCTAGTTCTCAGAGAGGAATCAATATACTCAGTGCATAGGTGCCAGAAGTGGCTCAGCATCCCAGGCAGACACAGGCCCTGGCTACAGTGTTTAGCTGCTGTGATCGTAGGCAGTTAATCTCTGGTACAGTCTTCTTTCCTTTTGAATGTGTGAATGTTGAGAATATGAAGTGTGTCATCTATGTTTACACAGCTATTCCAGAAATGGTGTCTATGACTTTCCAAATAGGTTTCCTTTGGCCACAAAAAGCTTTTTTGCCACAAGCCCCCCTTTTACCTCCAGCCTTTCTCTACCTCATCTCCTGGTGTATGCTGTTGATCGCCTCTGGCTCCTTCCAGATCAGAGCCAAGAGAAAGAATGAGCGCTTTAGACCATACATCCCTTGTATTCCACCTAGTTTCTCATCTGACAGCCTCAGTTTGCCCTCTCGACATTGATTAACTTCCAATGAGTGTTGGGTCTCTAGACTTCTGTTGAACATTAGGCTAGTTCTATGGATTCAGAGATACCTCTTAGTACTGATAAGTTTTTGACTTATCTCTGGTCATCTTAGGCCACAGGGTCCCCAGAGGGATTAGGCAGTCTAGAGTCTTCCATAGAGTAAGAAACTGCTTGTGGAAGAAGTGCTATCCACAGACCCTGCTGGGCAGAGGTCAGTGGGAAAGAACTATGCACAAGGGGGCTAGAAACAAAATTTTCCAATTTCAGAGTTTTAAGTGATACTGACTCCCCTTATTTGAGACCCTCCATGTCTGCCTCCTGGCTCTCTCTCATCATTCACCCACACATTCAGATTTTAGCAGGTGCTCACTTGGAGTCGGGCCCTGTGCTGACACTTGCTTTGGAGTTCATGGTTGAATAAGGGAAACAGATATAAATGGCCCTCCACCATACAGTGCAGTGAGCCTGGCACACAGGGAAGAGCAAGGTGTGGGAAGGCTGAGGAGGGGCTGAGAGATGGCCTGGTGCACAGGACAAACCTCCCAAAGGGGCTGTGGCCCCTGCCCTTGCTCTGTGCATCTGTCACTGTGTTTTCTGTCTCATTCTCATTTGCTGAACTTGAAGAAGTCAAAGAATTTCAAGTCCCTCCTTGGGTGCTAATTCCAAAGGCTCTGTCCAGGGTTCCCTTCCCCAGACCTCCTGGAGATTTAAGGAGTGGGAACACAAAGCCCCGAATCCTTTCCACACCAGGTCTTTAGTCTTATCCCATCTTGGTCACTTGCCCGTAAGTGTTGCATTCCTTTGACCACAAGGTGGAGGGTACCTGTTCTGAAAGAATGAAGCCATAGAGTTAAAAACAATGTAGTCAAAGCACCAAGATCAATGTCAAGATAACTCAAGGTTTTTACTTGTATTTTTCACATTCAGGAAGGGGACACAGCATCCAAACAAACCCATGAATACCTCTGTCCTCCCTGCCCCCCAGGGTCAAGGATGCAGATGACTAGGCCAAGTGAGATCTGCTTAGTGGGCAGGGGAGGGACAGGGCTCAGCTGAGTTTGATTGTAGTCCCCTCATTAGCTTAAGACAAGGCATTGTGCAGTTGGGGTGGAGGTTTTCAGAGAGGATCCCTCAGGCAGGAGGCAGTAGTTCCTTGGAAGGAGAACTGACCCTTGTATCCCTTTCAGTCTGGCCACGTGAATTGTTACCGCCTCCGCTGCCCGCCCATCCACTGCTCACAGCCTGTGATAGAGCCACAGCAGTGCTGTCCCAGGTGTGTGGGTAAGTGGCCTCGCTCTTCCCCTGGCGCTGACCTCTCTCCATTGCCCTTTGTCTCATTCCTGATGTGGGCCCCTGGCTGAGAGAAAGTCCTGGAAGGAGAAGGGCAGCCTTGCCCATCAGAGATGTGGAGACACAGAGATGCTCAGGACTCACAAGTCGGGCTAAGTAGCAGTGAACTCCCGGCTCTTACCTTGGTGTGCATAGCAGGAGGAGGCAGAAGAAGTAACAACTGGGCTGGCCAGATGACTCAGCACTTGCCACCAAGGCTGGGGACCTAAGCTCCATCCCTGGGATACACCTGGTAGAAGGAAAGAACTGACTCCTACAGGTTGCTCAGCTCCCACTATGCATGCCACCCCCCAAGTGAATGAATAAATGTAATGCAAGCATTTTAAAAATAAAGAGAGAAGGGGCTGGAGAGATGGTTCAGCGGTCAAGAACACGGGCTGTTCTTCTAGAAGACCCGGATTTGAATCCCAGCACCCACATGGCAGCCAACAACTGTCTGTAACGCCAGTCCCAGGGGATCTGAAAGCCGCTTCTGTCCTCCGTGGGTGCACAACATGGATGCACTTACGTACATGCAGGCAATACACGCATACACATAAAATAAAAATAATAAATAAAATATTTTTAAAAAAAGAGAGAAAGTAGAAAGAGACTGAAGGAGACGGGCCGGCTTGGCCAGCTGACCACACACTTGGTCTCCAGTCCCTCTGGCTAGGCAGAGGTGAGTGGACACAATCTGGGAAGGGAAGGTGAGTGATTTGGAGCTGGCTTGGATTTTCCGTTTTTATCACAAAATACCTGAAGGTAGGTACTTATTCAGAAAAGAGCTATTTAACTTACAGGTTTGGAGGTTGAAAGCCCAAGATCTGGTGACCCCATCAGTTTGGCCTCTGATAGGAATTCTGTCAATGGGATTACAGCTTGGTAACGAGATGGGAAGGCAACCGACTGTGCAGAAGGGACAGGAGCATAAGCTCAACTTGCTTGATGTCTCACGGGAGCTAACCAGAGTCCCACAAGAATTACATTAATCTCTTCCAAGGGTGGTGTGCCCGGGGCCTCTGCAACTTTCACTAGGCCCCACCTCTATGTCAAATCACCTTCCAAGACCACCACACCAGGGACCAAGCTCTGGGGGACACCCTCAAACTGTATCCAAACCCTAGCCGTTCTGTAAGGGAGACTCCACTATTGTTACCCTGCAGCCAGGAGTGACCAAAGGACTTGGCATGTATCCTCTGAGGGTTCCCCCAGGGCTCAACTTTGGAGACTCTCTGTGTCCCAATGCTAGATGTATATAATTTCCTGAATTTAAGGTTCTAAAAGCCTCAGGGACCAGGATTCTAGGAAATAGAAGTCAGAGAGAGGTGAGATAGCTTAAGAAGAAACTGGAATGATCCAGTGACCTGTGAAGGACAGCAGATGTATGGGTGGGTAACTCAGACCAGGAGAGATATTGAGAGAAGCGATGTTCAGAAGTGAGAGGGAAGCAGTGAGGAAGGGGCCCTTGAGTTCTGGCCTCAGCTCTGGGGTCTGGAGCCAGACTGTGCTTCTCAGTAAGGAAGCATATGTGAAAGACCCACTTTCTAAGTGGGAGTCCAGCAGGGTTCTGTGGGCCTAACATGGGTCATACACAGCCCTTGCTCTGGGTGTCCTGGGGGAACAGAAGCTTTTGGCTTCATGCTGCCCAGTGAGGGGGCATTCCACCTCCTCTGTGTCTGATGCTGGCTCCAGGGCCTTTACCTCTCCAAGAGAGTTAGATTTGACCCTGTGCCTTGGCCTGGCAACTTCTTCCTTAAATGCCCTTCCATCCTGTCTGTCCTTCCATCCTCTGGCTTCTGCCTGCTTGGTTCTTCTCTTTCTCCTGGACTCTGTTAGCTGTCAGTCTTTAGGAAGCCTTCCTTGGCCAAATTAGGGGCTCCTCCTCTGAGTTTCCCCAGCTCCTGTAGTTCCGCTGCCCTGGCCTTTACCATGGTACAGTATATGTGCTGTAGCTTGTCTCTCTACTCCTAAGGCAGTGAGCTTCTTGATGGCAGGGCTGAGTCATGTCATCACCCCATTCCAGATGGGGCCTGGGGCCTGGTGCAGAGAAGGGGCTTAATGAAGGTGTTGTGAAAGGATAAGAGGGATGTCCCAGGACAAGGGGCCGTCCCCTCTACCCAGCAAGATGAAGTCTGACTGGACAGTGATGAGGAGTTGGGCTTAGTAGCCAGTGAATGATAGGAGATTACATCAAGTACTAGGCAGAGGGAACCCCACCTGATTCCATGAGAATGTGACTCCAAGAGTGCAGGAACTTGGTTTCCCAGCTGTATCTCTTAGTGCCTATAACCAAGCCTCACACAGGGAGGTGCTTTGTGAATGCTCATGGGCCTCAGACACTGAGGGGTAGCTAGGCAGCAGTGGAAAACCATGAGAGGGAGGTCAGATGTGGGTATCGGCAGCACCTCTTGGCTAGCAGATATAGGAAATGGCTAGGAAGTTCAAAGCCAGAGCTTGGTTTAAATGCTAAGGGGGGATGGGGTTCTTCAAAAAAGTGGCCTGCCTAATTCTGGCAAAATCTCAGATCCACATAAAACCTCAATTCCTTCTTCCCCTTGCCCCTTCCCACCTGCAGATCTTCAGGCCCCCTCTGGGCTCCGGGCCCCCTCAAAGTCCTGCCAGTACAATGAGACCACATACCAACATGGAGAGATCTTCAGTGCCCAGGAGCTGTTACCTGCCCACCTTTCCAACCAGTGTGTCCTCTGCAGCTGTATCGTAAGACCATCTATATTCCCTGTAGCCCAAGCTCATGTCCTGCCTGCAAAGAGCACACAGGGCAGACAGGGGCAGGGGAGGGTCTGGGACACAGATGGGGCCAGCAGTAGCAAATGGGATTTAATCAGAAACAGCTTAGACTCCTGTCTGTGCTCAGAGCAGGGCCTAGGGGCAGCAGGGTTGACAGTCTACGATGGGGATGGGGGGCAGAGGGTGAAGCCAAGCAGGGACTGGCATAGAAAGTCTTCCCTCTTGCTTGGAAGGGTCTAGGTGTGGCTCTCTTCCTGTCCCAGACACTCCATGTAATTATTCTTACCCTTAGGCTTAGCTTTCTTGTCTCCTTACTCCCTGATCACCAAACTTCTCTGGCCTTGGTTCCTCTGACTCCTCAAGGGGTCCTCTGGGATGATCTGTAATGTTCTTTCTAAATGGGGTGTCAGAGACCTGTGGTTGAGCTCCAGCTCTACCCTGGTGTTGTGTGACCTTTTTCCAAAGAGACTGAAACTAAGATCTGTTCATCCCAGATAGAGATGAACAAACCAAAGGAGCCATTCACCCAAACCTAGCTTGGCAAGTCAATGCGTTTATTGGGATCACTTATAGGAACATGGGTGACTCAAAAGCAACTCTATCACTGTTTTGAAAAGCCCAATGGAAAATGAGTGACAACTAGCATGCCTGGAGTTCCCTGCACAACTTGCAGGCAGCTACACAACAGCCCTTTTCTTGGCTATATTTTGCTGTTTATATAACCCTGGAGAGGGGGCTTGTAGCTCTTAGAACCTTCTGAGCTTTCTGAGCCTTGTAAGGGTCCTTAACTTTCTGAGTCTTATCAGCCTTACTCTTCCCTCCAAAAAGAAACATTTGAATTTGGAGAAAATAGCTGGATAACACTAGGTTCTCTGTGTGACTTTGGAAAATCACCTTTCTTTTAGCCTTTCTCCCCGTTTCTTCAGTTTCCATCATTCTGAGACTCTGAATCTTTATTTTTATGTGTATGAGAAGTTTGCCTATATGTATGCATGTGCACCATGTGGGTGCAATGCTTGTGGAGACCAAAAGAGGGCGTCAGAGTCCCTGGAACTAGAGTTACAAATTGTGATTCACCACCTTGTGGGTGCTGGGAACCAAACTCAGGTCCTCTGCAAGAGCAGCCAATACTCTTAACCACTGAGCCATCTCTCCAGCCCAGAGACTGAATCTTAAAACTATCCATGTGGCAAAGCAAACAGCCTATTAGTATCTGGAAATGATTGCATGTCAGCCTAGCAGATGACTTCTGTTTGCAGGGCCCAGTCATCTTGCAGTGGGATAGAACATTAGGTTCATGTTCATAGAAATATCTGGGTCTATCCAACAGCTCTAGAAGGATGTTGGGCTTGTTTTTCAGGTAAGCAGTTGGAGCTCAAAGCAGCTGAGCAGCTTGCCTAAGGCCACACAGGCAGAGTGCAGACCCAGGCCTCCCTCCAGGCCTCCTGAAGCCCATGTTCTTTTTTCACTACCGTGCTGCTTCCCATGAAAGGCAGAGCCTAGATTAGGACAAGGCTGTGGGTAGAGGAAGTGGTGAATATTCTAGAATATTCTAGTAGCTCCTTTGTCCATTCTTCCTGGATGCATGGCTCCCCTTTCTTTCTTCTCATCACTGTTCATGGCACTGGCTTGGGTTCTAATCTTCTCTCTAGGAACAAGATCCTTACTTCTCAGACTCATGGGTTGGACTACCTCACTTCCTGCAAGAACGTGGTATATTACCATTGGTTTTCATGGCCATGCCTTCACCTGATTTTCACAAACCATGAATGTGCCCTCTCTTCTCACAGGTGAAACTCGGGCCGAAAGAGAAGTCTTCTCTAAAGGCACCTGGCCCCTTGCCTCACAGAGGGCCATGCATCCTGCCCTATATCCTTGTCTTTTGCGGGGGAAGGGGGTCCTGAAGTTGGAGGCCAAGAGCTTTCAATAAGACCAAGATAAGCCCAGGTGTCAGCCATCTAGTCCGCACCCATGCCAGGCCCCTCACCGAGGCCTGGGAGGACATTGATTTCAATAGGAAAAGCCTGAAGCCTGTACCCAGATCTCTTCTACTCTGGTTGTCTCTGTCACTGAATAGAACAGCCCCCAGCCCTCTCAGGAGCCCCTTCAACTGTAAGATGGGGAAAAGCCCACCTCATAGGTTGCTGAGTCTAGGGAACACTGGAGGTGAAGTTCCTTTTAGGGCCTGGCGTGAGAATAGGAACTGGCTTGGCCTTGCCCAGCAGCCATATGCCATGCCCTCCCTTCTCCACCTCAGGGGAGATCTCAAGGCTATTTGCTCCCAGAGAAGGGGGGCTTCCCTGAGCCCTAAGACTGATCTTCATCAGAGCTCATCTCCAGTCTCATGTGTTCTGCCTGTCAGGAAGGTCAGATCTACTGTGGCCTCATGACCTGCCCTGAACCTGGCTGCCCCACTTCACTCCCACCGCCCGACTCCTGCTGCCAGATCAGCAAAGGTGAGTGTCTTACCTTTAACTGTCAACTTGATGCAGCCTAGGGTATTCTGGGAAGAAAGCCTTGATTGAGTTTCCTAGATCAGATTGGCCTGTGGGCATGTCTGCAGAGGATTATCTTGATTGTTAATTGATGTAGGAGGGCCCAGCCCACTGTGGGCAGCTCCATTCTGTGGGCAGGTGGTCCTGGATAGCTGCAAAGCAAACCAGCAAGCGGGGTCTTTGACTTCCCTCAATGATGGAATGTAACCTCTAAGCTAAAATTAACCCTTTCCCTCTGCTAAGTTGCTTTTGGTCAGAGTGTTTTATCACAGTAATAGAATGAAGCTAGAAGAGTGAATCTCCCTGAGGTCTTCCAGGGTCCCTCAGTGCCTACTTCATGCACTATCAGGAGAAGTCTCAGGGACAGCCAGCTTGTAGTAGATGGGTCCTTCCTGCAGAGAGGTGGTAGCTTGGTGTGGACGTTCCAGAAAGCAGGACCCATGGCTAAGGCTGTGTCGGGCCACTTCTATCATTCCAATTCCAGGAGTACACATGAGGGCAAGTGAAAATGTGGGGGTGGGAGACGAGAAAGAAGACTTTATCTACCAACTTGTCAACTCCCATTGATCAAGGCTCAGGTTACTCACCTTTGTTAATGCCCCCACTCACTAGGATATGGGTGCCAGGAAGTCTTGGAAGCAGCAGGAAGTGGGGAGGAAGAGCATGGCAGGGACACAGACAAGGACAGGACTGAGGGCAATAAGTTGGCAGGTACAGAAGGGGCACTGCTGCAGAGCTTGTAGTGCCTGGGCAGAGTTCCCACAACCTGACAAGGTTGACAAGAACAAAGTGGCACCCAGGAGGGAACAAACATGGGCTGGGGCCATGTCTTTTTCTATAACATAGGACACAGAATTGGTCTCCTGGAGTAACATCTCTGGGTAAAACTGAGGCCAGCACATGGGCTGGTAAAGGGCAGGCTGGGCTTGAATAGAGAGATGCAATTGTACTGTCTCTGTGGGCTGGGGCAGCCAAGGAAAGATTCTTGGGGAGACCCCAGGTGTTGGCATTTTGGATGGTGTTCTTGAGTTTAGTCCTGGTTTTTGGCATCAAATGCCATAAATTCCTTGCACCTCTTGGCATCAGTTCTGTGTGGGCACTGAGAGACTGGCAGTTTCTAACAGCCTAATTCCACTCTTCTGGGTGTCTGAAGCAGAAACATGATGCCAGATGGTGTGGTGACATGAGGGCTGGAGTGAGAGAGGGGTGTTGAGATTCAGGAAGTTTTGGGGCTCCATGTTCTGCTTCCCTCAGGAATAGCAGCTAGAAGAGACCTCAGGGCTCACCTGGAGGGGCAGAGGTGCTGTAGAGTAGGGCCCTGGGAGTGTGTATTGAAAACCAGGGCCTGGTGACATCACATGAAACTAGATCAAGTGGCTGTACCAGGAACTGCAACGAAGCTGGTTGTAGGCATGGGATGCTAGGATCCTGGGCTGTCCATGATGGACAACAAAGGGATAACCAGTATCCCAAAGGGGGGACTTTTAAATAAAGCCTCAAGATGCTCTGGTTAGCTGAGCAGTTCAGTACCAATAGCAACCAGAAGTCAGTATGGGGAAACTGAGGAAGCAACCTAGTGGAGACTTAACTTAAAAGAGATGAGGACAGGCTGTATAGAGAAGTGTAAGCCCCCTCCCCACCTTCCCACAGTAGCTGGTAGGCTGGTGTTGCAGATATAGCACTAGGCATGGCTGAGAAGCCCAAGGCTGACCCAGCTTCCTTTGAGTTTTCAGACAGGGCAAGTGAGAGCTCCGCTGAAGAGAATTCCACGCAGCTGCAGCTTGGGGAGGTGAGTGTGAAGCTTTGCAGGCAGGGTAAGGAGAAGGTCTGCTATCCAAAGCTAAAAATGTGCACAACTCTCAAGCAGGACTTTCCTTTCCCCTGGGTCAGCTACATTGACATCCCCATATTCTGGTCCTTCTCCCTAGTCTGTAATCATAGCTCCTATCACGACTGATGGGCCTGGAAGGGAAGAGTTTACCACACAGGGGAGGGCAGGCCCCAAGCTCCTTCATTTCCCTCTGGGGACTCTCTCTGGCCCTGTTCCATTCAGAGCCTGTGTCTATGCTGCACCCAAGCTCCTGAGGGAGTGGCCTCTTGCTTAGCCCTGGCTTCTCCACCTTGCTCCTGGAGTGCTGGTTCTTTATCAGAGGTCTGCCCTTCTCTTCCCTTCTCCATCTTGGCTCCTGTCAGTCTTGTCTAGGCTTGGTATGACCTGCTGCCCAGCTCTCTTTGGTCTGAGAGGAAAGAGCTAGGAGAATGAGCCATGCCCTGATTCAAGTTGCCCATCAGTTTTTAGGTCTGTGTTACAGTGTGAAGACTCCTCCTGCTCCCTGGGCCCCCTGAGTCTGGGACACTGGAAGCTGGACTCCTTACCTCTCCTTCTCTGCCAGGACATCTGCCTTTGTCAGGTTGACTTTGCAGGAGGGCCCACAGACCTGAGCTATTCCACCCTTTCCTTCCTGCTTCTCCCTAGAAGGCAGTGTGTGAGGCCCACAGGCCAGTGTGAGGCTCTGGCCAGCAACTTCTTGGCTAGCTGAATGATTTAGGCAGGTCACCATTTAGAGGCTGCATTCAAATCCTTCTTACTTCAACTCTACCAGTATTTCCTGTGTGCCTGAGCCTGTGCTGGGCCCCGGGATAGTTTCTACTCTGTCAGGTCTGTCCCTGAGCCATGAAAGAGCTGCCTCAGAGACTACAGCAGAAATAAGTTGTAGAAGGGATATAGGTAACTCTACGACAGTGAGGGAAAGGATAGGCTCTGTTCCTTGTCACCAGCCCCTCACTCCACTTTCACAGCCTGGAACTGCACAGTCCCCAGACTGAGCTGTGGAGCTCCCACCCCATAAGCCATCCCAGCCTTCCTAGGCCTGGTCTGGAAGACCGGGATCTTGGGATTATGGATTCCAAGGATTGATAAAAGGAAGGGGTCTGGGTGGCCACTTTTTAAAAACCTTCTGTCTCTGGGTGGAACCTGCTCATAGTTTTACTGCCCTGTGGGTTTCTGGAACCTTCTGGGATCTTCATCATCTGACTTTTCTTAAGCATTAAATTTTCTGCCCCTGATTCTATATCCCTCTGCTTACTCTGACTCCAAGCCTGGCTCTGACAAAACCTGGGAAGCTCTTGGTGGAGGCTGGCTGGCCAAATCTCTGTCCTTACTGTTTTCAAAGATGTCTATGAACATCTTAAACCCCACCCAGTTCATTCTGCCCAAGACCTACACAGAGCCTGTATTCTCTCTCTTCTCTCTCTCTCTCTCTCTCTCTCTCTCTCTCTCTCTCAGGGTTTTCCTGTAGCCCCAGCTGGCCTGGAACTCACTATGTAGACCAGGCTGGCCTT